CTGAGCATACAGTATTTATTAATATATACATTGGGTAAGGGCAAAACCTGTTATATAAATTAACATCTCCCCAATGCAAAAATACATCTTGGAAAAAAAGATCCACTTTGCTGGGTATCTCCCTTTATGCAGGAAATTGTGAAATGTTTCTGAGAAATGAGAACATTGTTGGGTTCACCTTTGACTTCATATGCTAGTTGATAAGAGTGTGGATATATAAAAAAAAGATTGCAGGCTTGGAATGTTTTTTTGGGGGGGGGAGGAGGGGATTTCTAGGTTTCAAGTGTAAGAAGGACACCAAATAGGGCCCCAAGCATGTTCTGCACAGACTTATCATTTTTGAACTAAGCAAGTTAATCTCACAATGCGTTGTCAAGGGGAATACATTCTTGTACATGACGCAGAGTATTAATTTCAACAAAAAAGTCAGAAATCATATTTGATGTCCCTTACACAAGAAACAGTGAAGGGGCATTTACCTATATATTTTGGTCTTTCTGAGGTAAGAAAGGTAGGATTTTTGGCTGAAATTTCTAAGGAAAGGCAATACATTTCAGTTAGACTGAATGATATGAATGAATCCCCTGCCAAGCAATTTGTCTATAGATGTTGGGTCAATATGTCCTAAGTTGGTACCCCAATTTATGAAATAACCCTCATTACCTTTGGGCCATGGAGAGCTTCTGATGGGATTTGGAGGCCATGTACTGGATGCAGCGTGGCTTCAGGTCAGAATCCATCTTGACGTAAGCTCCTCGGTTGCTGCCCATCTCGTAGTAGTTGGACGCAGAGAAGACTGTCAGCACCTGCAGTAAGTTGGTTATAAATGAAGTGTGTATCTACTTGATTTGTTCAGAGCTGTACTATGACCAGTGCTTTTGGAGAGCTTGTGAGGAAAGAGTTGCGAACTTGCTTGAGTGAGACCTGAACCCATAACCTTTAACTTAGAGGTGCACTTGACCACAAGGTACATTTGTTTATGCCTAAATAAATAAAATGTTTCCGTCAAAAATCGCATTACTTGTAAAGATGGCAGTTTTTGCATGGGAAAGTCTATAATTTACACAAAGTGAGTCAGATTGTGTGGTCATGTGGTGTATCTATGAAAAAGTCCGTTCACATATTGCCAGGGCCGGGAATCAACACCAAGGTCACCTTGGACAGAGGAAAGTGCTGTATGGAACTCCACCTGTGACAAACACACATTTTGGGCTCTGAGAGCACTTTTGGGGTTAGTAAACACTCTTTTGGTTGACAAACACCGTGTTTAGTTACCAAACCTTTTTTGGTTGACGAAAACCTTTGGACAAACTCTACTTTGAATGACATGTCCTTACCAGTCCATCGTGGGTGTACTCGTACCCCTCTGACTTGCACTCGTGGGACCGGATCAGCAGGTCCAGGCCATGCTTCTTCAGCACTTTGCTGCTGATGTCCGGCCCAAAGTAACTCCCACCGCCGCGGAACAGGTTGGGCTGGCAGCCGTCCACCATCTTGGGGTCACTCCACAGGACGTCCAGGATCTGCCGCCACTCCGAGAAGTTGACCTTGTCTGACAGGTCGTCCTCCTCTCCTGTGATCTCCTCGGCTCCTTCCTTCAAGGGAGGTTTTAGAACAGACTTGTACTGCAAAATAGAGGAAGGAATAACGAGAAAAGTGATATGGGGAGGTTTTAAATTAGCTTATTTAAACCAGATGGGGAGCCAGGAGATGAAGGACAGAGCTGATGCCAAATACTTTTTGTATGAAATAGGAAAAGCTAAGTCAAAATTCATATTTTTTCACTGACTCTGTTGATAAATTTTTTTCATGCTTCTTGAAACTCCCCCTCCTGTCTGTGGTATGTGCCACAAGGGTGCTACAAAAATGTAACAATATTCAAATATAATATCTGGAAATTGGCACACATGGCACTTGCCGCGTGATGTGATGCAGAATGCAGCTGAGTTGGTATCAAGGGAAATTCCCACTCTATGATGTGTGGATCCATTGGTTATAATAGGATTCAAAATTTCACTTGAAAAAAGGAAAGTCTTTGAAACCAGTTGGCACCTTCATCACCTACTAAAACCCCCCAAGTGACAGGCTCTAGGCCAATAGGAATGGGTGAAGTGCCTGTAGTGTTTCTGAATAATAAATACTTATCTAAAGTAAAGTATCAAAGTATCACAATTAATATCCATGTTCATCAAGCCATCAGATTTGTTTATCTCCAGCAGCTTGAGACAACCAGATGTCTACCATAGGTACCCATATATACTACTGGGTAGAGACAGGCAATTCTGGTGTCTAAGATTCCAACTTGTGAAATTCCCCTCCCCCATCTATCATTCTGTATGTGAAGCAGAGATGGCACGTCAACAACATGCCTTCTGGGCAATAAACTGCCTGTGGTAATATATAGGTTTGCATACCTAAGGCACAGAGCATGCAAGACCAAGTGTCACTGGAACCTACGGTCTTCGCATGGGTACTGGTTACCTCATTAGAAACAGCCTCGCTCTTTCTTCCTTGCTGCTGAAACCACTCAGCCAATTTCTCTTTGTACTGCCACAAACTGATCCAACAACTCATGGTGTTCTGGACTCATCCAGGGGTTCACCCATGAATAACGACAGTGTACATGTTCTTAACGCTTGATTCTTGTCCAATTCAAAGATTCGAGGAAGGCTTTCAGTCAAACCTTTTGCCTGTCCAGGTTGCTCAGCACCGTCAGGTCGGTCTTGTCTGAGATGCCACCGTGCGTGACAAGGATTTTCCCGTCAATGACAGTTGCCAAGGGCAATAAGGAGAAGACATCCTTGAAGAGGGGGATGATCCACTGTGCTTGCTGTTTACAGTTGGGCTGGGGTCAAAGAGAAGAATTGTGGGCAAGGTAAAAACAAAAACTCACTCCATCAAAATGATACCTTTGCTTTGAATTTCTAGCTTCACAACACCGTGAAAAGGGCAGTGACTGCTTGTCATTGTGATTTGATTCTGTATGGCAACAAAAGATGGCGCTGTGACAACTCACATGAGCCTCATGTGAGGATGCACTGCACCAACAGCAGTACTTTGTCAGAATGCCAGCTGAACAAACTTCATTATTTCACACAATAATCAGAAAAACTGAACTTTTAACTTAACAATTTACCTTTGAAAGAGCCTCGAGGAATGAACTTTCAAAGCAACAATAAATATGTATCAGGCATGATGAAAAATTGCTTTCTCCAGAGAAGCTGTGAAATATTAATGGTCCCTTGGCGTAAGCTGATGCGTTTTATCCCGAAGTGAAGCAATTCTGATCATTGAACACCTCAGGACCAAAAATGTTGCATGACTCTCCCCTGAGCAATTTTGTATTTGTGTGTTCAACTTAACCTCACAGGGAAGTCTCCCATGTGTAGAATGAAGCAAATGTAGCTCATGAACTTGTCCCATCAGCTATACGTGTATAATGACAAATTGAAACCAGCAGCTTGAAACCTGAACAGTCTCTCCAGGGAAGACGCTGATAAGTGCCAATAAGTGGTCTAGCATGAAAGTCTGACTCCTGGCCCATGCAACAGGGATATGAAGCACCTGTTATTTCATTGGGAAGATCATAAACAGTGACTGTAAAGCCTCAAATTCAAAAGCCTGGAGAGCCGAGGGACACTTCTTGAAACAGATGCAATAAAACCAGCAAAATGTAATTACTGTACACCAACTGATACACCCTCTAAAATCTATCAGACATTATCCATACTGCAGGGCCCTATGCATGTTTCCCTGTCTCCATTACAAGTGGCCCCATGGGTGTACTGACTATTGAGGAGACCAACAGTCCCATTTGACCAGTGTTAATAAATCACCCCACAAGTCTCACACAACGGAAATGACATGTAAGGGTAAATGAACAACACTGTTCAACAAAACTTGACAAATTGAGAAACAAGTCAGGTTGAATTTGTCACAAGAAATGCTGACATTAAATAGAACAGCCACAGGGTACTCACTTTTCCATATTTCATCTGGACTTCCCTGATGAAACCATACCTGAAGTGATAGGGAGAACTTCAATCACATATCAGAAAAAGACACCAGAAAGTTTTCATTTTGAATATGAGTGACAACATTAAGACTAAAACGGGGGCTCTTTCTGAGCTGCTTCAAAAAGTACACAATAAAGAATAGAAATTTTTTTGTAAAATTTCTTTAATACATGTGAAGGGTTTCATTCCAAAATAAGATACGGGCCATTGAAATTTGAGCAATGGTTCAATAATTATTGAAAATTTAAGAACGGAAAGCGTGTACCTCATCTCCTCACATACTGTTCACTGTTCTGACTCATTGGTTGTTACTAAATGAAACCCATAGAAACTGGCTGAAGGCAACCACGAGAAGGTGGAATTCAGAGAAAGACCAAAATGGCACTTGTCTCATTGAATTCTTTATCGACCGTACAGCATCTTTTGCACTTGTTGTCTTGCACACTGAACTAGAGATACATGTACGGTAGGAGAACTGCAAATTTTTACCAAAGTCAAAATATGACCAACGTAGAAAACCGCATCCCTAATGCATCCCATTCATCTTTTAAATGGCCTAGGCAAGGTGATTTATTCATGCGTCCCATTAAACCGGCTTACAATATTTGTTGTGTCATTTTGAAAGCGTTTTCCGGCTGTTTGTGTTTTCCGCTCAGGCATTGTATATTTATGAGCAAGAGTGTGATGGCATCCAAGGCAGAAAATGCCAGGGTTACAGCTATTTCTGCACTCACACTCATAAATTGTTTTGTTTGTCACAGTTTTCATTTAATTTCATGGCATTAGTTTGGCCAGTGAGATAATTTTCTTACAAAAATTTCAAACCAATTTTGAACCAATTTTGCGGGATCACAATCAGAACAAAAAACCCTATTGAATAGGGTTTTCCTGTAATGACATCACAAACATGGCTCCCTCATTTGTCAAGAAAAATACTAACACTTTTACATGTAAAGGTTAAAAAAACTTTTCAAAGAGAAACCCAAATGAGATATCAGATAAATGTAATTTTATATATTTAAGAGTAGAACACAGTACAAAACACATATGGGTCATTCTATAAATTAGGAGTCCACTTTTTTGTGTGTCCCTGTCACATCTGACATGATTTTGTAAGTTCAGAACAGTTCTCTCATTTCCACGAGTAATAAATTAATGCAAATTACCTGCCAAACAAATGGAAATAGTTTGAAATCAATTTCAGTGATACTGCTGCATAAAATTACACAGGTTGGGCGTAACAGGGACACAAAAATACCAGTTTTGGACCCGGAATTTATAGAATGACCCATATCCAAGTAACATTCCCATCATGGCCAATTTGAAATTTCAGTTCAGCAGAGACTAAAAATCTGCACAACATCTAGAAAGGTTTCGAATTCTTTGCTTCAAGTTTCTACTTATTTCCATGTATACATGTGTGCTAACTTTGCAAATGGGAATGCAATTCCAATAACAGTAATATAGGGTTACTGCAAAGGAAATAATAACAAGCATATTCAGTATTCTGTATTAAAGTACAATATATTTGTCTTTCTTCCTCCAAAAAATCATAAAAAGTCAGTCTACTATTCTTTACGTAGAAAAGTGCTCTTTATTAACAGGTACGTATATAATCAAACTTTAATTTACACATCATTATGCCTGCAAAACCATAAAAGCTCTTTCTGCAGGTGTAATTGGTCTTATCAAATTAGCACAAACACACTACGGGTGTCTGCGATGCTGCAAACTGTACACATATCGGCGATCGTGAAATGGATGGACTGTTTGAATCGTCGCGAAGCCTACAGTATGCTCTTTGGGTTGTACATGTATTTGTTCAATGGATTTCATTTCCTATACTTAAGTGTCTCAACTGACCTTGTTGGAGGCAATGATACTAAATGCATTCATGGGGGTAATTGGTCTGTAGCAGCAAGGATCAAATGCTGGCAATAACAATATTTTTGTTAAACAAGCCTTTAGATCTTGAATTCCCTGAGGAGATTGTTATACAAAGTGGTGATATCCTTGAATGGAAATAACTTAAGCAATGGCCCCTGCGTCCTCAAAATAATGGCACTACACTTAACCACCCGAGAGCTTTAACTTGGCAAGTGGTAAAGTACACCCTATTACGAGGGGACTCCACTACACAGCAAAGAAGGGAGCACTGCTCAGGCACAGTGGACATTCCGCTGATTGCAAAGTCATTTTGGGAACACATAGCCAGATGTTTTCTACACCAAAGATAGGCTGGTATTCTGTCTTGACAGGGTTTGTCGGAAATTCGCAGCATTTGGGGCATTTGTACATGTGCATGGAACACGTCGGTGCAAAACCCTGTAAGGAAATTGGACTGACACCTTTTTTTTTCAAACAAAAGACTCAGCGATGACTGAAAACTGCTGATAACACTGACAACAAATACTCTTCTCTTGGCAGGGTAACATTTTTCTGTAGGAAAATAGAAGAAATATTTCTAAAAAGGGTTTCAAATTTTGCAAAGGTAAATAAATTCTGACTGTGATCAGGCTCGATCTTCTTTCACTGAAACTCACGTTCCTTTTTATGTCCAATTCTTTTTCTCTAGACAAATGAGACCTGTTATTATCATTTCACACACTGGACAAAATTTACTACTTCCGGTCAGTTAATAATTACAGTAGTAAACAAGTAAGTGTACCAGCTACTGACACAGGAAAACATCGCCGCACATTATCTGCTTGCATAGTATCAGAGCAGCCAACACAGTGAGCGAATAAACACAAAATGACACATGGCCTTTCGGAATGAGACATCTGCCCACCTCAGATTCATGATGTGATCTTCATGATTGCCCCTGTTCAAGTAGACCTCATTGGGGTAGACCAGAAAGAAGGCCAACAGCAGCACAGCAACTTCTACGGAATTGGGTCCCCTGTCTACAAAGTCGCCGTTGAAGACGTAAGGGTTTTCCTTGGAGGGCAGGCCATTCTGAAACCGAAAGCGGAACAACTTCTTAATCAAATACATTGGTTTCCAACATGCACTTGTATCTCTTGAAAAGTGTACAGCCTTGTATCTTCTGGGCTCAGTGAGAGTCAACAGAGCGACCATCACTTTGATTTGCACCTGCAAGTTAAGAATTGAATAGCTGGATGGAACTAAATATTCAAATGAATTATGCACAAACCAGTACACTACACAATGCCGGCAATGCAGCAGGGAATGGCTGCATGTTGGCACTAATCAAGTGTCTTTTCAAAGGAGCTTGTTTTTATGACTTGCGTCGCTCATCACTGAGGAAGTCTCTCATGCTCAGCATCCCTTAAGCAGAGTACAGCCTTGATCTGTGGCCAGCTAGAGTGCCTTTTCAGACATAAGGCTCATTGACCTTATTGTAAAAATTAAATACCTGAAACTGATGTGATTTGTTGGGCAGGTTGTCTTCATCACTTGTGTCTATGGTGTGAAATATATCAGAATATCACTACTCCCCTGGGAGGGATGCCATAAATTACTACCTACAGAAGTCAGAAACCATTCCATTTCTGAATACACTTGGCTGCAGAGCGGTGGATGGCAGTAAATTAGCTTGTTAATGGTGCATGGCTAACAGGTACATGAGGATTCAAACCCCTAACCCTGTGGCCACAAGTCATGGCCCCTTCCAACATTATATGCTGCAATGCTCAAGACATGAGTCAACGATATTTTAAAAAAGGTTACCTCAACAGGAACAGAGTATAAGTGTCACCCCTAACTGCAAGTTCCTTTTTTTTAGTCATAATGAATTTAAAAGCTTCGTACAGAAAAAACTGATGACAGAAACAAGGAAATGATTCTGTTATAAATTACATTCACAAAATTAAGCTATTGATAATATTTACAAAGATTTGGAGTCTGGAATTGAACCCCCTTTTTTCCAAGGTTCACAGCAACCTTGGTACCTCCCTCAACAATTTCAATTGAACCAACTTGATTTAAAAGTCACAATTTTCTGTAGGACTATCTACCACAGTACCGGTCCACAAGTACAAGACTCTCAAGTATTCAAAATTCAGTGACTCTAGGTTTCAGTTCAATCAGATTCATTCAAAATCAAAATTCACAATATATATACAGTGACTTTGACTTAAAATGCTGACTTAACCAGACCTTATAATACTTTTTTAATGTATACATTCAATAATCCCTAACTCAGAGTTGCCCAGAATTGACTGCTTAATTCAAAATTCCAACTCTATTACTTCCACTGTCTGTCGGGGACAGATTTTTGGCATTGTATTTGCAAACTGGTGGGTCAGGTCAAATCGGGGACAGCTTTCACTGATTGGCTAAACAAAACCTGCTACAAAACCTACTACATGTACATCAGGTGTCTCTAGGCAAGTTGACATTGGTTCATGTCCCACTCAGCTCCACTCTCATACGTTCAAAAAATTTTGGGTTAGTCTTCCTTCTGGATCTCAGAATGTTCTGATCAGTAAACACACACACACAACCCTTCTAGACTACTGTCCACATTCTTTCGCACATGTTCACAATGACAGTAACAAATGGACATCAATAACCACGGTCACACACACAATAAATGTATGTAACATCATGCACGACACTTGGGCAGGTTGAACGCAACCTACACCTTAATTTTGAATGGCTGGAAAGAAAACTACTGGGAAATTACGAGTACGGGATTGGTCTACAACTTTTGGCACAATCTAATTGTATGTTGGGGACAGTATGATAACCGTAGCATGCACAATAAACAAGCTGGTCTAATGCTGGAATGAAATTGAGGGGGAGACAGATGCTTGTGACAAGATGTAGTTAGGCTTGTGCATGTCATCCACATGTACATCAATGGTGCAGTTTATGACTTGATAACCTAAACTCAAGTGCGATATAAACCCTCTTCCAGCTAGTGAAGGCATCTTCCTACTTGACCAATGAGCTTGCTGAGGTCAACTCGCCAGTTCACATCCAGTATAGTAAGTCCCTACAAGATCTGCACTACTAAGCAGGCAGTCGCAGGTTCGAGTCCTGCCTGAGTAAGCCTGTGAAGCTTGTTCTCAGTGCTAAAAGGCACCATTAAGCAGGCAGCGCTTGTCCCATTCAATCAGTGAACCCAACCTCATAATCTGCGCCCCCACCCGACTTGCGTGTACAATTATTATTATCAAATAATTATATATAAAAAACAACTGCTTTCCTGCCTTAAGCTATCTCTTTCATCCCTAAACAAACTGAATAAGCCCTACAGCATTTAAGGGTGAGACGGTGGCCTGTTAAGCGATAGGAATACAAGTCTTGTTTGTAGTGCTGCTACAGAGTATGGGCTTCACCACTTGCAAAGACATGTGCATGTACGCACATGGACAAATGCTGACAACAGATAGCTAGGAACAGCCCCAGAGGTCCATTATGGACACAGCATGTCGGCGCTTTTATACACCGCCTTAATTTCCCAGGACAAATTGTACACCAAGAGGCCTGAGCACAGAAGAAAAAAACAGATAGCAAATGGAGTCCAACACTGGCCAAAACACTCCTTATTTTTTAGAAAAGGCTCATTCAACCTCGCTCAGGCTGCTAGAGTATAGTGAACCCTCTACAATAAACGCTAGTGACAAAGCTTGAACTCTGCGGTCAAATTGCAAGTCAGTGTGTGGACTTGCATGCACTGCAGCCACACTTGTAATGCACACATGCCTGTTCCACAGTAGTGGGGACTACACTTGTGTTGAAACATGGATGTTGCGGGGGTGAAAAATGTCATTGGAATAAAGAATTGTCTCCTGAGCATGGCAAAGGTCTACCCCGCTCTTTCTTGACAGTCAATGTAACGGTTCTATGGAACAGTGCTGCTAACGACCCTTTCCAAAACAAAATAAAGTACACCTACATGTACAGCTGATAAGGTACCAGAACTGGTTTTGAACCAACCCTGGCATGCAAATCACGTCCCAGTCACTCCCCGATTCTGTGAGGTTTGAGTCTTGAATATCAGTGCAGGGTTCTTTCACCAAAAGATACAGATGGCCATTTTTGTTTAGAATCTCCTGCACTGTATCAGAGATCCTCTGGTTTAATTATCAGCCAGAATAAAATGCTATAAATTGTGCAAACGACAGAAAACATATATAAGTCAGTGTTACATCAGAGATTTCAATGAAGTAATATACCCCTAAGAAAACCTTGCAGTTTAAATATTACTGACAAAAAGGCATCAAAACAAGTGTCAGTATAGTGACTATTTCAGGTGTGAACAGGAAAGAGACGTGCTTAAGAAATGAGGATGACACAGGGTACATGGCAGTTGCTGTGTGGAGATAAAATGTCACTGTGATCAATGCATACTAAGTCCAAACAACTTGATTCTCCGGTTCTTTTTACAACCACACAAGATATCCTTGCATGGTGCTACTGCAAACCTCTGTACTTGACTTGCCACCTTCACCATGATAAGCTTCAAAACTCAACTTCAATCTAATTTTTGGTGACTAATGAAACGCTTCCCCACAAGATCTCAGCAAGCTCCAGCAGCCAAAGCACAGTCCCTGCTTCCTTTATTTACCTCTTTCTACCCTTGATGAACTACTAGTGTTTGTAGATGATGTCACTCCAGAACAAAAATAAAATACTGAAGCAGGAGAGTCACCATGGCAACCTGTTGGGCATTTAGCATTGCTAAGGCAACGTTTTCAATTTGACTGAATTTTCCAGATAATGATCCGTGCTTTCATTATGTTTGTTTCCATTGCTGTGATGCCCATTACTTTGCATGCACTGTCAAAACCTGGGAAAGATGTACAATGCACAGCGTGTATAGCAACGAACACAGACATCCCTGGGGGATACGCATCATGTGAGCGAACTCTGAGCCAAACTTCACTAATGAAACTGAAAATGGATGCCCTGGATTCCCAATTTAACTCTGAGGTTCAGCAGCAGGGATTCAGCAGAAACGAACTTAGTAGCACATGTACAGAACACACACTTGTGGGATTCCAGACAAAAACTCATACTCAAGCTTGTCTGGGTACCAAAGCAAAAATTTGGTTTTTGTAACATGGAAAGCCTTTCGAGCTGCAATTTACCATTTTGTATCAGATTTTTAAATGTCTGATTGATACAGAATTTTGTAGAATTTTCACAGCAAAATAACAAAGGTGACGTTTCTACAGTGCCAAAATCACTTCAAAGCATACAAAATAACACAAAAGTAGCATGTTGCTTTTAGTGACAAATCTGCTGAGGTTGGCAGAGTATTTATGTAGATGTACATACACATGTGCACGTAGATACAGACAGATTCTGCATTCTGGTTTCCTATAGTGTAGTGTAGTGTAGTGTAGTGTAGTGTGGTGTAGTGTAGTGTAGTTGTCAGTTCATGTTATTAAATCCACAATGTCTCGCAGCCTGACGGCTGAATTGCACATCATTTCCACAATTAAAATAGACAATAACATCAAAATTAACTATTAAAATTTAAAAAAAATGTACAATGTAGAATACTTTTATACAAGAATGATTACATTCATTATATTTAAAACACAAACAAAACTACCATGCACCATCTATACATCACAACACAGAAGAGACCAATCAATTGACACATTAAAACTACTCCAGGATATATCGCACAAGCCCGAGTCAAAATGCCGATAAGTCAGAATTACCAATTCAAAACGTTGATGAAAAAAGGAATGGGACTAGTTTCAAATCGATTTGTTTCAGTCCTAATAGTGGTAATACTTCTAATTATTTTGGTAAATTTCTACCATGACATTCAAACCTAGGAGGAGGAAATAATGATTTGGTACAAGGATTAACCTGGCTATTTTTTGAAAAGTTACAGCAGTGATCATCCCTTCTACTAGCTTATGTGTCCAATCCAAGGGTTGCACAGGCATCTTCATGATGCGAATAATCTCGTCCTAAAATAATTTTACAAACCCTTTTTTTATACCTTCGATATCATACCGGTAACTCTGCTTCACTGTCAACCCAGAATGCCAAATAATGTCAGCATATTCCAGCACTGGTCTAACGTACCCACTAAATACAACTTGCAATTCTTCTCAACTAAACCCAAATCTTTTCAGTGTTCAGAACACTAACACTCTTTGATCAGCCTTGGTCAACATCTTATCAACCTGGGAATTCCATTTTAGATTATTCTGCATCCAAAGTCTTAATATTTGTGCTTCAGAAACAGAACTTACATGTAATAAATCACCTGCCATAGTCAGCTCACTACAACGGCAGTTATTAGATTTATTAATCCCTAACCCTACATAATACTACAAATTACTTCTTGTAGTAAAATGTAGTACTGAGCACTGTCGCTTGTAAGAGGAAATGACCTTGTTTTGTAAAGCCATAAGATACAATAGATAAGACAATGCACCATACAGTGCTGTGGCACTATGAATGCATGGCTCCATTGTTCTCTGTACGAGTAACAATGGAAGTAACCTAGCCAGAAGTAGTAATCTGTAGCATTAGGTCCTTCAGGCTCAGACTATTACTTAGTATTTTGTAGTACTGTGTAGTGTAAGCCAAACAATATGCTTGGCAGTTCGGGTTGAAGTAAACTTGAAGGACTTGACACTTGGAGAGATTTAATTTCAATGAGTTATTGTCACACCATTGGCTCAAACAATTAATCTAGATCCCTCTGAAGATATTCCAGGCACATAGCAGTTGTATGTACAGCAAATGTCCGGTCATCAATGTGTGTACTTCCAATAGTTGGAATTAAATTCTTGATCAGCATCATTAATCATTATTTGAAATCCAGGGCTCCCCTAAGATGCACACAGTCAGAAAGTACATTACTGTGACAAACACACTGTCTACTATTGTGGGGAAAATCGGATATCCACGGCACAATGGCCGCACAGACTCCCATGGCTATGATCTTCCTAACAAGGATAGTATGATGGACCAAATCAAATGCCTTCGAGAAGTCCACACGAACCACCGTCCCTAGGTTACGATTTCTCCCTGCACAGCACCATGAAAAAGGACATGAATAAGACTAACCAGAGAGTGACTGGTTGAAACTCCGGAAACATTTCCAAACTGGTGAATATCAATCTTATCCCCAATATTCGTAATAACCCATTTAGTGATCAAAAACTTTCTGCAATTTTAGCAAAGACGGACGTGAGTGAAACTGGCCTAATAGTTTATCAACACTAGGGGGCCTCTGTTTTGAAATCAGCACAAAAATGACATCCTTCAATTGGAACAGAACAGTTCCCTCAGCCAAAGAGCAATTCAAAATGTCAGACAATGGGACACTCAGCCCATACTGCTGAGGAGACATTACTTTTGTCAGCACGATTAACTGAGAGATAACCAATTTGTGCTATTAGGTACAAATGTACATGTAATTTCATTATTTTGGAGGTGAATCGCATTCATTCTTACAACCCAATAGGGTATGCCTCAATCTGGAAGACTGACTTTTAACCTGACCAAACTTCTTTGTCAATTTATGAAGGACATGGGACATGGCAACTTTCAAGATGAAAAGTAGGAAAAACAAGTCACAGTGAGCACCCACTCCACTGCAGATGACAAATTAATTAAACTTGCCTTAGGAAACCTTGCATGAGTTCATTAGGACAATGCTCCCAGCTACTGTGATCCCATATTTTTGGTGGGGCCCAATGCCCCTTAAATATTCCAGAACCAAGAATATTGAATCAGGCTTTTACACTGTGCAATCTGTAGCTTTCAGGAAGGTCCAATGGGGGTTGGGGTTAAGGAAATCTAGACAAAAGTTTGTTATGTCCGAACATACTTGGGGGAATGTGGCCACACATTGAGGTTTTGATTGTACAAGGGTTTTTGACTGTCAAATGGATAAAACTGTCACCGGTATTTATAAAAAACAAACCCAGATAAGCATGACAGGAGGAAAAATAAATCCTGTTTGCAAAACAGAAGTTCCAGGAAAACCTAACATTTGACTCTCTGCAGCCACTATTAGTTTTGCTTGCTTTCTCAATGTTATTGGAAAACAAAAAAAAAAAAACAGAGTGACAAACACATTCCGGGTGAAAAAACCGGACATCATTCTAATTTGGTACATTTATCATCATGACGTTGAAGAGTTTTCAACAAAAAAGACATAATGTGTGATTAAACTATGCTGGATGTAAAGGCACATGCAACATGGTGTCTGAATTTGCACATCATCTACAATATCTTACTAGCAAGGTGACTATTAGAGCTTCAGTGGGATTCCCTGCAAATTTTCTTGTGTTACAGAATGAGGTCATGTTGGGTACTGTTGTGAAGACAGTGATGTTGGAAAACAACCTACATTAACAGATAGAAGGGTCCCCTTCTTTATAACATACTGGTATTTCTTGTATGACTACTTTTTTGCTGACTGCAGTAACTTTTATTCCACACTGCAACTAAAAAAGGAGGCTCTAAAGACGTCAGTCTGTTACCATGGCAACACAGCTTTACTTGACGCTTGTGAGGTCCAAAGTTCAAACAAAGTCCCTATAATAGAGGGACAATTCCAACAAAGAAATTTCACTAGAGTCTAGGTCCCTATTTACTACCACAGTATGATAGAATCTTGTGAAAATCCCCTCCCATGTCTGTTTATTACCCATGGATTTACCCTTTCTAGCTATCACATGTATACAACATAAGGTTTTGATGCAGATTTCTGAGGTTTTTAAAAATATTTTGTTTGGTTGGTTTGGTCAGGCTGAATTGGTGGGTTGGTTGGACTGGGTAGGGTAGGGTAGGGTAGGGTTTGGACGGGTTGGGTTGGGACAAGACACCCCACTTTCTTGCATCTGCACAGAGTGGAGTGAAACCAAGACTCAAAGGTGCATGTATGTCCAAACCCATCCAATTCAATATGGCTATGTAAAATAGCATATTCAAATATTCATTGGTACTTGCATCAGCCAAGACAGTCAAATTTTGGCCCCCATCTAATTTACAATCTGATCAACAGTTGTAGGCCCATGAAGCTGCTTCTGTTCATTCCTTATTCATTACAAATCTACAATCCAGCATGAGTGAATATTCAAATATTCAGTCAAATATTCAGTTATTCCAATTGAGTCAGCCCCACAAGTCAAATCTTTCATCAATATCAATCATCAGTGATCCAATGTTCTATATTCACTTCATACACAATCATGCAACAAACAGAAATGTCTAAAAACATCCCATACAGTCAAAAAAAAAATTGTCTCCAGGTATTAAATAAAAGATTTATCTCATCTGATGTGTAGTGTGTATGTGTAATGCGTAAACACCCTCAAAACAGTTCCTGACTTTTTTTTAAATTGCAGAAAATTTTTCAGGGATATTAAAACTGGCCTCCAGGAGCTAAATAAATATTTCAAGATACCCTCAACATTGCAGACGTGACTTTCCAGGAATTTCGTCAATCCCCGGCCACAAATTAGCAACTTGCGCCGCAGCAACCACGGCACATTTGCAGTGGACCAAAGAGTGTACAGCACAATTTTTTTTCCACAATGAAATTGCTCATTTTGCTTGGCAAACAAGCAGTAAACTGAGGAAACATATTTAAGATTAATCTCACAATATGCTACTTCAAACTCTTGGTTTATTTCTTTTTAATGGACAGGTGGAGAAATGTGCATGTGTCCTTTGTGAAAAGCAACAAGGTTTCCAATATCATGCAATATCTGGCAGATGAAATCGAAACAGATTTCATGCTCAAAACATCCACACACACATCACAACCTCCACACGTTAATGGGACAGCCTTCCCAAATTTAAATTAAAGTCTGCATATACATGTACATGTAACTGCTCTTTTTCTACTATCTAGAAGAGAATACCCTTCTCATATCCCCTCAGGCAACAATTTCATGGTTATAAGATACACAAACTGCACATAGATGTATCAATCTAACAAGCAGCTCATCTAAGTTTATGCACTGTTTGTAAGACTGCTCACTGAGTTGCTTCCACAGAAACCAGAAAAAAAGGAAATGCGAATCTCCCCGGTGCAAGATCACAATCTGCTTTTTACAACACTCCCTGCTAATACTGACTTGAACCAGCCAGCCGACAATGACAAGCTCTGTGGTCGAGTGGTAAAGAAACACACACACTGATAGGCAGTAGGTTGAGGGTTTGAGTCCTACCAAGTAAGCTCACGAGCATAAATATAAACTGTGTACATTTCTCCCCTTTACTGATACAAAGGAGGTGGAGAGTCATCGAACAAAGTCACCAAAGCTGTGCTTCATGTATTAAAGTCAAAAATTTCCAACATGGACTATTCCAAATCCTCAGTTCGTCCCCCTCCCCGGATGCCGAGGGACATTTCACTGAATTGTCCACGCCCATCAGAAACACACACACATTCACTCACCTTGTAGAAGATGATGAATAAATCATCCAGCTTGCCATGCAAATCGCCTGAACCGGTGGGAGAAAAAAAAGGAAAAGATAAATTAAAAAACTGCCTGAAGGTACCTGAATGTCGGGCGGCAGCGTTCCACCACAAACGGACAAAAGTGGTTGAGGGGGCCTCCCATTTATTTCTATAACAGAAACCCTTGTGGATTTTTAGAGAGCTATGAAGAGTTTTGGCGGGCCCTAGTGTGTTTGTATCTTTCCAGCGTTTACGGTGCAAGCTCAGTTCTCGCCATAATAAAGCACAGTATTAAACATCAATCCATCCCCCTATAAAATAACTGAAGCTCAGAATGCTTCTGGAGTAAATGCTTTGACATTTAGAATCCTGGAGCTTCAAGTTTCACCTGCTTAAAAGCCTTTGATCTTTTGAAGTGTGGCCTTCGGATTTCTCAGAGGATGAAATATTCCTGATTATACTTACACGCATCAGCCACATACATGTCAAATATTACAATTAATAAGCAGTAAAAACTTAACTGATAAGTGATAGAGATGATGTGATACATATCATGATACTGAGGTCATGATATGATAGGCATACATGCACAAGCATTATGATACATGTCCTGAACTTGGGTAGTTGTATGGCAATTTTTGTCTACGTGGTGTAACTGTGCACTGGGTTTCATCTTTCTAATATTTACAATAACTGCATGCCTATGGAAGCTGCTCGGTTGCAACTTCATAGTTGAAGCTTTGGTGAAATTTGAATGAAAGTACATGTACATGTACTCTTGCACACTTCAATTTTGATTTAACTTGTCACTGTTCACCCTACTACTATGAGGTTATCTATTATGACTGAAGTTCTGAAAGGAATCGTGACTGGGACTTGTGAAAGGAACTGAGACTGAAATTGTGAAAGGGTTTGTGACTAGACTTCTGAAAGGGTTTGTGACTAGACTTCTGAAAGGGTTTGTGACTACACTTCTGAAAGGGTTTGTGACTGGACTTCTGAAAGGGTTTGTGACTGGACTTCTGAAAGGGTTTATGACTGGACTTGTGAAAGGACTCATGACTGGATTGTTCAATTGACTACAGTGCCAGCCAATACCCAACTCACCGCAGACGGTGATCTGCTTGGCCAGGGCCGTGGTGGCCTGGTTGACGTTGGGTTTGTCCCTCAGTAGCTTGCAGGCCTCCAGCAGCACCTGGATGCAGTACTTAGCGTGGATGGGCTGGTCCTCCTTCAGGCTGCCCACCAGCTCCTGCAGCTGCTGGGCTGTCAGGGGGAAAGTCAGGTGGACGCCCTGATAGGACTTCTCTACGGGGATCTTGTCCACATCCAGCTGGGCCAGCCTGTTGTCATCCCGCACAATCTGCTTGTTCTCCTCTGTAAAGAGTGGTATCAGTGTGCTATAATTAGCCTATGCCACAGAATAGTACATAGCGTTGAGACTAGCCTACACACTAACAATTGCGGCAATAATTTTAGTACATGAGTGAGGCATGCATGGCACTTTGACTAAAGACTAGCAGATGTGATTTTCTGCCTGCCAACATTAATATCTTTGCCAATTCCTTTTCTGAGGCTTTGTGCTACACAATTACATAGTGGGACTACTATTCATATTGCAAATTCCTTTTCACAAGTCTATTATCACACGTTAAAGCTGTCTGCGTAATACCTCATTAAAAATCAGCAGTAAATTTCAGGACCATTTCAGTCGTTCTAGGGAACAGGAGAATAGAATCGAATCATTAGAGAGTTAAGACACACGGCCCCAACAGTTCTCTGTCACCTACATGTAATTTTCCACCTCATGGCCTTCACAACACATGTATTTTTAAAACAATTTCTGTACAAAAAAGCATCCTGTCCATTAAAGTACGTGCTACCTCCTTCTAATATCGGACAGAAGCCTATGACCACTCGTATCACACATGAACAAAATGAGCTAATAGGAGGAAATGAAGCAGAGGCAATTGGCTCATAAATCAACACTGATAATATGCCACAGTGGTAATTGTTTGGACAAACAGCCATACAGAGTGTCCTTTGATGCTGCCAACAGGTAATATATGTCCACCACTGTGACAACTAGCACTTGAAATAACTGCTACAACTGTGCATGTACATGTGTAACGCTTGTTTGTTTCAACAGGGTGCACATAAGGCCCCTATGAGTCGTGGTTACAGTTCTCTGCTGAATTGTGCGTAGCCCAAAAAGAATTAGAAAAACAAACACACTGTCACAACGATTATGGGGTTTGCAAGTGTTTCATTTAAAACACTGACTAAAATTGTTGGGTGTTGACTCCGGGTTGGAGAACAAGAGAGAGAAGTGAAGTAAAAGTGAAGTGAGTCTGAACACTGAATAAGGGGTGATATATACAGGGGTGAGAGCTGGGTGGAAAACAAGCTAAAATGGGGTAGAAAGTTGTAATCATAAAATAGTAGACAGGGTGTCTGGGGTGTAATGAGAAAACGGTCAAGGTGGATCCTAACTGGAATTTATGGGTCACAAAGATATCAACAGGGAAAGCTTAATCTCCGGGTCTAAATTGGAGGGAATGTGAGCCTTGAACTCTAACAAGCTTTGGAGTAAAATGGACTAGAACCTGGGCTTACACATGTACATGATATACTGGCACATCTAACTCAAATACACCTAGCCACATTATTAAAGGCTGCCGGGTAAAAATGATTGAAATAAAACCTTAAAACAAACAATCACAAAGCTCTGACTTAAAAGCAGGTCGCTCAGGCAAAAGGTTTTGTGATCAGAAAAAAGATTAAAATTGACAGACAAAAAAAAAGATAACAACATAGTCTAAGAACAAGGTCTTACATGTATCTCAAGGAATGCTTACAGCAAACCCCAAAATGTCAAACAGAGTTACTGCCTTTGATTAATAGCATCCCTTGGCTTCCACATCCAACTTACACAGCTCCAGAGAACAGTCGCTTTCTATGCAATGGGCAGTGAATTTCAAATAGAAGTTAGGTCTATATTTATAAGCTTTCTTGAATCTGGCTTGAATTGTCACTCGGTGCTTTTATTAGAGCATGCCATGGCAAATAATCTGACTGATATTGTTTCCAAACTGACATAAGACCAGCTCAATCTGGATGGAATGAGTGTGGTCCCAACAACAATCTGCACAGTGAGCCAACAAGGTACCGTAAGTCTCCGCCCCCTAAATATAACCAGAACTGCATGTACCTTCATCTGGCATTCCATCTTCGGATAGGAAACTGGCTTTCGGCGAGTCCTGAACTGAAGTCAACATGTCATTGAAGAAATTGTACAACTGCAGCGTGATAAGCAAACAACACAAATGATGAGAAAACGTAAAAATGAACTGTTCTCAGTCTTTCTTGGGAGCTGATGTAGCGATACATGTAATCTACCGGTACAATTCATCAGTGCATGCAGGATGCAAGGATGCAGCAACATGAAAGTTCAGAAATTGGAATTTGATAACAAATACACAGTGGTATTGTTAGGTACCATTCGAAAAGTAAAGCACGAAAAACAGAACACTATGTAGACAATTATGACCAAATAACCAAAATGTGCAGCTGCCATACATGTATCAATCAGCACTCTGACATTTAAATTAATTTCCTAAGGTAGTATTGATGCCGACATTCAGACATGTACATGTATTATATTATGCGGGGAAAAAATGTGTCATAACACTCCTTAACCTTTCCATCATTTATTGTTCGAATATTCTTCACACTCCGTAACAAATTTAGCAGAAGGGAAATTGTGGGACAATTTGATGCTGCTTGCCAAACGGAAGTGCGATAACACAACATCTGATCGATCCGACTTTGCTCCCATCATATCACAGTTCACACGTGCGTGCGTGCGTGCGTGCCCATTACTGGCTTGATAGTAACAGCTGGAGATTCTTCCAGACTTGTCACTCAGCAATGACAATGGTCACTGCATGTACGATATCATTTCTAACAAAAGGCTTTCAGAAGTAATCTCAAGAATCTTTGGAATAACACCTGCTGATTCATTGTTGAACTTGGAGGTTAACTGTCGGTCATAATTAAATGCATACATGTACATGTACATGTATATGTATTTCAGAAGTTAATAACACATTACAGCTACTGGTAGAGCTGTGTTCCTACTGTAGCTCTACATGTACATGTATGTATGCACTGAACATGTCCTGATGTATGGACATGTATGGTACATGTACATATAATTTTAAACAGAAGAGTGTGTTTTAAAGTTTATAATACACTTGATGATGGGCATGCACGAGACAATAGTATAGTCAGCAGTGCCATGTAACAATAAAAATGAGGAAAGAACTTCTTGAGATCCACATGGAAAGGAGTGTTACTTGTATCAATTAATTAACACCATGGGAGGTTGTTCATATCCAAGCTAGGTCCAGTCCTCGGTATAAGGCCGACTTTTTGGCCCCAATTTCAACTGTTTTCGCAACATGTACATGTAACTGTTAATTAATGTTCCAGTAGCAACTTTTCCTCCTTTCCTTTTGTTTTTGATGGGAGAGAGAGGAGCCTCTTGGTAGCGATGGATGGGTGGCTACATGCAGAAACCCCCTCGTCAAAACACTGCCGATGACCACCAGTATGTGTATCTGTGCTGTGCAAATGTGTACATGTGCATGAACCTCAACAAAGAATGACCCATTTCATTGAAAAGCTTGTCATGTATCCTTCTGAAGATTTTAGTCCGAACAGAACTCAAATTCTGAGATCTACGCCTGATAACAAGTAAATTACTCAGTCCGAGGCCTAGAAATACCTGGTACATTTGTAGGTACTACTTTGCAGAGTGGCACAGTCTACGGTACATGTACAAGTAATTCATTTATGCCCATAACCGTTGAAGAACCAAATCTCTGTCAAAAAGCCTCCCTTTTGCAACCTTAATTTCACTAAAGACACTCTAGCCAAATCTTTATCTCTCTCTGAAGGTGTACGTCTCCACTCATACCATTGCAGAGATTGTCAGCTCCTTGAACACACAAAGGTGAACGCTGCACATTATCTATATGGCAAAAGGTTAAATGAATTTGCCACTTGCTACCAAGGACAAAAGTATTAGATTTGATAGCCTGTGTGACTTGACCTTCAATTATTCGCTTAATTTATGATTGTCCAAAAAAGACCCATTCCAACAACAGTTTGACATCAAACCTGGCCATGTGAGAAAGATTCAAGGCTGTTATACATCAGGCATCAGCATACAAGTACATGTAGTTGTGTACATGTACTCTAAAGAACATGCAGAAAATGAATTGGATGTGGCTTGTTCATTTGATAGTTACTCTTACAATTAAGTTGCTGTTCTCTACATTTTCATGTTACATATACAGTAGTTTCTTTTTATTCCACCAGAATGCACAGGATGTTTTAGGTACTGGGTTCACAGAACTTCATGACTAGACCAGAGTATATCTGCAGTACCTTCAAATCAAAAACAATGAAACTTCAAGAACTGTGTAAAAGATACTTTTGTCCAGTTTGTGAGTACAATCCAGCAATAATGTTCAGAAACTCGAGCACAAAAGAATTCCATGAATTACAATTGGGTAGGGGGGGGATTCAGAAGCAATCCACATGTACAAACATGCTTATTTAATAACCCTTAAGCGGGTAAAATACTGGAAAATTTAAAAGAGTTCAGCGCTTCCTCGCTGGCTCAGTAATTCAATCAAAGTGAAAGCTACATGTATGTGTACCACTGACAACTGACACTAATTCAACGCTGATTGATTCTGCAGAGGGCTTGGTACATGTACGTATACTATTTTTCATCTGCAAATGAAGAAACAGAAAACCCTGATGAAATTGAATTGCATCCAGCAGGATTCACACTCTTCTTCTCCTCAGTGACATCTCTGTCTGTTTTTAAAGCAGATTAGGGTGTGATAGAAAATCCACTACAGAACATATTAAATTTCGCTGCATTCATAAAACAGAAAGACAGCATACTGCTGGCCTTTGCACTAGGTTTGAAAGCTACGTGTAAGTGAACAAAGCACAAGGAATCTATCGATCTTTTCTCCATATTAACAGAACTGGTACTTCAACATTAAAAACCAACAATGAAATTCAACAATACAATAAAACTCAGGACTAGTGAAAATTCATACATTCACTATTCACTTTTGTAAGTATAATTCAATATTGAAATGCAAAACTAACTATGAAATTCGACAACACGATAAATGTCTGACCACGGAGTTGAACTCAGGTCCATTTGCATTCAACACTGAATTTCCAAACCAACAATGAAATACAGTGATTTCATCACAATAAGTGTTGGGCCATGGAGCTGTATGTAAGACCTGCAGTAGCATTGCAGCACTATGGTCTGACACAATACACAGGGATTTGTGCAACGAAATTTATTATACTGCTTCTAGATGATTGGCAGTAATCCTCAAACTACATTGTACAGTACATCACGAAAGACAGCCCTTAACAGGTACCGGTATCGGCCTAGAGCAGAAGCACCCCCTCATCAGTTGAAAAGAATCGTGTTGATCGGGAGTATTCATTTGTTGGTAGTGATGCGGCTGCAACACTTCAGTTTCCTAGTCATTCGTGAACCAGCGATGTGCGGTTAGTACCAAAGGAGCCTCGGTTGCCAAGGAAATAGCACCCTCTCTTGGTCCAGCTGGAGGCCCATACAATGTAGACGATTAATCTGAGAGGACACCTGTGGCACACACTCGTGCGTGAGTTCTTTAAACAAGTTACTCATTTTCTGTGAACCGTGAACTATTTTGGGCTCGACTTTTGGATGATTTTTTTATTCCTTTTTGCAATAAATACTCCTGACACCAAGCTGCCTCAAAACCTACATGTATCTCCCAGAAAGGGGGCTTATCAGTCCTTATGTGTCTCCACTCCAACACTTTCTGGAGGGGGAAAATACACACAGTGAATCTGAAATTGATCACAATATGGTACAGATGTCTCTAGTTAGAAAAAAAAACAGAAATAAGACCGAAGTCTACAAGCAAGTGAACTATGCAGATGTGGCCTACAGGTGTTTATAGTAATTAATCAGTGTTTTCAAGGTTTCATTACTTAAGAACTGCTGTTGGGATGTTTAATTGCCAGCTGATGAAGTTGAAGGATACAGCAGATGACACAAGCAGCAATTTGCTACCAGTATTCAGCAAATACTGGCTCCAAGGACACTCAAAATACAATCACAATCCATCTCCTGCCTGTGTTGCCAAAACAAATGACTGCTGCCTCAGGGCAATTAAATTAAACTTAAACCATCCGGAACTGTCCTGGGGGGAACTTTTCTACATAAGGACTTGATGAGGCCAAACATCTGAAGGCATTTGGCATCTTTGCAGGAGAGGAGAAAGAGGCGGTCCCCCATTAAAAAAGACACAATTTTGTAAAGGAAGAACAAGAGAAAGAATTTAAAAAGAATGAAAGGAAATGAAAATCACCATGTTGCTTGAAAATACTCTGGAACTAACACCCTTGAATGTGGATGGTTTGTCAGGTGGCTGCCAATGAGTAGTGTTTTGTTCCCTTTATTTGCCTTTGCAATGCCTAGCTTCAAGGGGAAAAAGCATTCCATGTACAACGTATGTTCTATGCTACCAAACATTTGTTGTACTACATGTACATGTATGCAGGAAAAAAACCTATAATGATTAAGTCTAAAAATCCACACTGACTTTTCTCACAATGCAATGCGGGTAAATTTGCCTGACCAATCACATCCCAGCTCTGCCTTGATTGGCTGGTACATACTGCTCACCTTGAGTTGGTCCTGTTCTCCTAAGTACTCAATGCTCTGGAAGATGTTCCACGTGCATCTCCTCCTGGCCTCCAGCCTGGCCTGATAGCGTCGATACCATCTTTGGATTAGTAATGCAGCTTTCAAAGCTGTAAACAAACAAATCCAAACAGTTGTATCTGTTGCAGGTTTCCAAACTGAAAATTTGCACGTAGTCATGACAATTGGAACATTTCAATGTACTACACATATTTTACTTTACCACAGAGGACAAAAAACTAAGTGAACAAAGCATGTCCTCAGTGGTCAGTTTGCTGTCCTCAGAGATGTGCCATGTATATCTGTGCCAATGTATTACTGCAGGGAACAATAGGAAACAATGCCTCCTGCCTGGGAATAGAATAATTGCATTGCAAAACAGGATTGAGTACAGCTGGCTGGCACCACACTGAATATCTGCTTTGTAAGTGACTTTGTCATAAAGGCGGATGCGCCACGATTTGTAGGCTTCTACTGGACGATCGCTGAAGTTACATATCAACTTCCGGTTCCATGGTTCCATGTAAATGGCAATCAATGCATGTACTGTACATGTAACTCTACATGCAGTGCATGTGCAGTCGCTGTGGTTTAAACTGAAGTGATGTCACACTTATGAACCAGATAAGAAACTTTGGGAGCAGACTGTGGGGACACTTGAAATCTAAACAATGTGCCCTGTTGAACTTCAAGTATAATAGTGGGCATGGTGCACTACCTGTAAACATACGTGGTCAGTCACTAGATCTAGCATGTATACAGTGTCAGTTGACTAATGGAAGACAGATGCACAGGTGGTCTCCCGAGCATCATTTATCACTTGAGAGATAAGTGCATGTACATGTATGATATATATTTCTCAAGTTACCAGTAAGAAGTTGTCACTTTGACATGTGCTTATGAAATTAGTGAAGTTCCTTCTTGAATTTACTGTGGAACTGATATTAATTATTAACTTTTTACTAGTTCTGAGCATGCGCGTGTTGTTCTGAGGATACCTGCATAGTTCTGCGCACCTGCAATACCTTGAAAAAGGACCAGTGTGTCTGCTGCCACCAACGTCTTAAAGTCTCTCACTGATGCAGCGTAGCAGTACTTGTATCATGCAGAGAAGTTGGTTTGTCCAGGCATAGGTTAACTGTATGCACTGGGCTACACTTGCTCATGATGCACTCATTTAAGTCACAGTATTTGCTTGAAAGTGCATTCACAGTGCAAGTAATCTGACTGTTTTATTAACCACTGTACATGAAAACAACTGTAGATCATTATAGACAGATGGCCAATTCCAGAGGGGTCCATTTTTTTTGTGTGTCCCTGTCACATCTGACATACGACTTTGTACCAGTAAGTTCAGCACACATTAATTCGAGTGACGTATTAACGCAGATTACCTGCCAAACAAAGAGTGATAGTTTGAAATCAATTACGGTGATATGTCCATGTCAAATAACAAAGGTCAGATGTACACATATCAGGGACACAAAAATGTCACATCTTTGGACCCCTAATTTCTGAAATTACCCAAATCCAAGGTCTTTTCAATGTACTGGTATATTTCTGCTTGCCACTTTTAATGGCAAAAACACTTGTGTTGGATTTTGTATGGAGTGACTGTCAAAGGAAAATTGCATTCTACCATTGGCTGGGGACAAGGCAAACACCCAGTGCAAAATACTGCGGTATAACCATGGTCATTGGATTTGTTCCAAGTTACTTGTAAACAATGTGAAGTACTAAGTTCTGTATACGCTAAGCATACCAGTACACATATTGAAAATACACGCATATTGGCTTCCTCATGTAAAGCTCTGAACAAACACACATGAGAGCACGGCTATTACAATTGAGAGTGAGGTTGGCCCCACCTCCTCCCAAACACCTACCATTTATACACATCTGTAGGAGAATTTAACCCACACAGCCTCGCTCTTCATCATTAGCCAACATGGACCTTGTACCAAGATACCACAGGCACACGTGTACATATACATGTTCACCACACAATTTCTTCTTCAAAGCCTCCTGACAATTTGTCTGTATTACCACATGCCCTTGACAGAGGGAAGGGCCTCGACCTTCAAATGGACAAGTTAGTGTGGTACATGTACATGTAGCTGCTTCAAGTCTCAAATGACATGCAGCTGTAAGTACATGTACATGTATTGCTACTAGAAAACACAGAGAGGTTCCACACAAACAGCTTTTGTTGCTCCCCGTACGGTACCAGTACCAGTTACCGTTCTTGCACGGTGTTTGTTCACTCCATGTACATGTACATTATACACGCCCACGTCCACATAACATCTGACTCTTGAAACTTGTCACTGGCCACTAGTGCAAGTTCCATTAATACATAAATGCAGGTAATCTTGCTTCAAAGCAAATACGAATAAAAAATGTATGTTGAGAGATTCGTCCATTTTCAGCTCGACCATGCATGATGGAATGCGCATGCTGCATGAGCAAGTAAAATGCGACCGTGACAATTTACTATGCTTCTGTTACACACTGTGATATGTAGTGAGATGGTAGAGCTAGAGAGCGAGTTGTGTACGACGTAACAAGACCACACAAACTAATGACCCATCTGGAAGAGCTAACTACATCCGTTTGTTTAAAAAAACGCTCTGAAAATAACCCCCCCCACACCAAAAAAAACCGGCGAAGAATTGACAGCTGACTGTTATGACCATACACTTACATTCGAGGCTGGCACGGTACTTCCAGTTTCATTTAGGTACACGTAATTTGATTTTCTCAAGCTGAAGATGCCGTTACATTTTTACAGCCATCTTCTGCACATAATGCTTACGTGCTAAAACCTGATTCTCTGAGAAGAATTAAGTCAATTTACAGAGTATGCCGGAGCAGCTGTATACATACATGTACATGTATGCATTTACAATGCAACAATTCCAGACTGTCAACATCCACTAGATATCTGTGCCAGTGGCAAGTAGGAATTAATTTGCACTGATAAAATAAACTGAAATGACATGTTAGGTCCATAATTACATGTATATAAGTCATCCCCATCTTTTAAATTTATGTATGATGTAACTGAGTTGTTTTAAATCACAGGTGAGTAAAACAGAATTTTGCTGAGGGTTTCATTCATTCTGTTGTGATGTTACCTCTGAAGTCAAACAAATTTCTTGCAACACACCAGGGGCCAATTTCATGGAACTGCTTAACACAAAATTTGCTTAAGCACAAGACGCTTGCTCAAAAAACAAAGGTGACCAGCTCAAAAATCTTGGCGATTGTCATGCTAACCAAAAGACACGTGAATACCATTCAAAAACAATACACATCACAGGGAGTTTTGGCTGGTAACTAACCTGATTTGTCAAGCAAGGTTTTTTCGAGCTTTAGCAAATTTTGTGCTTAAGCAGCTCTATGAAATTGGCCCCTAAAGCCAACGTCTGTGATGAAGGGCCGTGGACCCAGGCCAACGAGATCAAGGCTCGAGCACAGAGTCAAGGACAGAGGATCGCTCTCCATACAAAGGACGCTGCCATTTACTTGATTAGACTTTAACCCTACAAGAACAGGGCAGATGGGGTGGAGGTGAGGATTCTGATGTCGTCACAGTGAAAACTCTTTCACAAATCCAGCCCTCAGGAGCTTTTAGAGTCAAGTCTTGTATTCATTTTGACCCCAATTTTGAGAAAGTTGGATTGGACATGTACCTGTACCTCTTCTCGAGAAAAGGAACACTTCTGCTGCTGACATGCTCAGTGCATGCAGGCTTTGAACTTCAAATGACCATACCAAAAAAGCATGCATTACATTAGGTTGAAACTTCAAATATGTAGAGATAATGAGTGTTTTATATGCATGCTGGTTTTAAAGGATTAGGCACAGGGCAACCAAGTTCTTAGGTTCCTTGTGAGATGGTCTAAAAAACCTGGCCATTCTTGTAGGGTTAAAGGCACTGTGTATAATGCCCAATATAATTTAGAAGAGGATCAGTTGTGCGCCTGGTGCATGCTCTTAGTACACAAACTTCCACTTCCATTTTGTGAATGCTATAAATAATCTTGAGAGCCCAAAAGGTTAATGAGTTTAGTGGTGATTGATGAAGCCTTTGTGTTTCTGCAATTTTCATCACTCACGAGTGCAGTTAATCTGATGTCTAAGGCAGAAGATGCAGGTGTATACCTGTTCAAGCATCGACAATTATTACTGTAATTACTGTTACTGATTACTATTTATTTGACAGCAACACAAAGAAAATATAACAGTATCAAAAATCTGAAAACACCCAAAAAAATGGCATAAAATACTGACAAAATAAACAATATACCACATGGACGAAAAGAGGCCAATAAGACAAGCGTGAAAAACAGCAGAAATGTGATCATAAAGATTGGAAAACTTAGCGTTTGAGGGAAGCATAAAGGTGTGAGAAACAAAGCAGAGAAAGACATTCAAACACTGAAGAGAAAAAAATTACTATACATGTAAGTAGATCAGGGACAGCGAAAGTGCAAAAAAAATTAATAAAAATAATTTTCTGTTCCTTGGAAGCAAGTTATCCAGCACATGTTAGCCATCACTATTCCATTTTGGCATTTCACTCTTGATTCCTCATGTACATGGATGTCAAGCAGCTAGTGAGCAAAAATTATACACAAACGTTTTCAACCAACAATCTTTAGGGTTCATTAACTTCCCATTATATCAAATATGTTCAGTAGCGTGTCATGGGATAGTCTGAGTGTCACTCGTTCTACTCCACCCTAAGGACATCTGATGTGTGTATGCATGCAAATTTCATGTAAATCTGCGTATCAACCAATCAGAGCTGTGATAAAGTCAATTTCCATCTGGACTGTGACGGAGGATGTTGATTGGTCAAAAGTTGTCAGCTGAGGGACAAGTACCCCCCTCCCAACATCACGGTTGCTTCTCTTCAGAAATTGAAAACACCAGCATTCTAAAATGGAATTACCACCTGATCTTGGGGGAAGTTCAAGATTTGTATACTAGTCAAAACAAATTGGACAGCTGTTTGGGGGAAACAAATTCCACTCTGCCCCTTCTGGATCCAAGACCTGAATAATGACACTGAATGTGTTAGATTTGTCCTGAGACATCACAG